CTTTACTATTTTTGCTACGAGTAATATAGCTCTCATCTGGCCAAGGGGATTATCGATTACAAATCAGTCTTTGTCCAAGAAGCTATTTCCTTATTCAATTTTCACACATCGAAATAAATCTAGTCACATTCCGGAGTGATCAAGTGACAGTAAGATTTGCCATTACTTCAGTTATGTCGAAGATTACTTTGTAATACTATCCTCTTAATTCCTTTGATTGTTTTACAAAGTTCCAATTCAATCAAAATCTTTGCAAGCAGCTTCACACTACATACTTTAGTTCCATTACAATAGTAACAGTCCCGATACTTTTTGATCAGGCCTCGTATACATGAATAGACTGATAGCAATAGACAGACATAAAGTAAAATAATATAATATATAATATATAGCTGAATTAAGATTTGTTGATTATCTGGAAAAAGAGATAGTTTTTTAAAAAAATTATCTAAAGGGTTCACTTCCTTTTGCACAGTATAATATAAACATATATACATATAACTATGAACCTAAAGATCCAGGCAAACCTAGGTAGATTTGACTGGCTCTTTAGGTTCATAGTTAGATTAGGTCTACTCTTTAGCACTTTATTTGGTTACTTTTTGCTTTACTCATTCTGGAGGGTTTTTCTTTGGACTCAATTACATGTTCTTAGATTTTTTTTTGTGCCTTATTTTCCTTTCCTTATATATATATATATATATATATATATATATATATATATATATATATATATAATAATATAATTATACTGTCTGTAAAAACCTTAGGAAAATAAGGGACAAAAAAGAAATGATTCAAAAAACAGGTGACATATATATATATATATATATATATATATATATATATATATATATATATATATATATATATATGTCACCTATTTTTTGAATCATTTCCCCAAGCATGCCAACTAAGTCACTAAGGCACAGGAGGTAAGTAATGAGTGAAGGAATATCAGAAAAGTAAAACATTAATAAAAAGAGAGACTACAATAAAAGAACAGAAATTAGGAAGACAGAAGATAACGATTGACATTGCATTTAAATTTTTGAAGATCAAACTTGATTGGAAATTAGTAAGCCAGAAAAGTTTACCGCGAGCGAGAAGTGTGACAGAAGAAACTGTTAGTATAGTATGGCTGTAGGAAAGTGACTGAATCTGAGATGCCAGGTCAGGATATTGCAGATTCATATTTGGATTTTATAAAAAAATCTCTAAATATATAGCAGGTACTGTAGACAATACGTGGCAGCAATAATCTAAGCATGGACGAATGGTACTTATAAATACGTAAAATAGTGTCGGGTGTGAAAAACTGTCTAGAAGATATTACATACGCACATGCAAAGTCGCAAGCAGACAAAGTGTGTCGGCAGATTGGCTCTTATTTTTCGTTTCATCTTTTGAAAGTGCCATCTGATGATCCGACGTCCTTTAAAAGGGTTCTGGTGAAATAAATTATTATAATGGAACCTTAAAGTGGTCTGTTTTTCTTTAATATATATACACACACACACACACACACACACACACACACACATATATATATATATATATATATATATATATATATATGCAATCGTATATATGATGGCCTGACGATTGCATATAAGTACAAAACAGACTGTCGCCCTAAGTGTTGACTTCTATGTTCACTTTTTATATTTACACACGCTCTATCTCTGATATCGAGCACTTATCCCATAAATATAGCACACCTTAAGACTATATTTCAGATATATATATATATATATATATATATATATATATATATATATATATATATATATATATATATATAGAATTGTCTAAAAGGTGCTGTAATTTAGCATAATACTCATAAAAATATATATATATATAGTATATTTTATATATGGATCGACACTTAATGCTATGATCAAATTATCTCTATGTCCTGTTAAGGATCAAAGTGGGATCATATGGAGCGATGTTCAAATCCCACCAGGGGAAGATTTGTCAGGCTGTCATTTTGATGTTCTCGGTTAGGTGAGACCATTATGTCACCCCTTTGTATGTCATCATTGGAAAGTGCATGAAAACCATACCTTGTGATAGCTGCGGAGCTATTCGGATGTTGTCGATGGTTGTACCAGCACAGAGTCACAAGTCATTGCGACTGATGGTGTGAGAGTAGTGGCCTTGTTCAAATTGTTGATCACGCCATATTATGCATTCTCTTCCAGAAAATGTAACTAAGGTCGGTTCACCATAGTTGCACAGGTTGCCTCGGGGATGTTGAACAAACAGAGATATGCCTGACCAGGCGTTTACAAAAGGGTGTCTAGCCGTCCCGGCATACATGTATACTCTGAAACGAGCGGCCAGCCGTTATTCGTACCCGAAATGTAAATTTTGAAATAGATTTTAATCCGATATTTAAAGGTAAAAGAACACATATTTAATCATAAAATTATTGCATAAATTGTTTTAATATTTTTAAAGAAGAAGATAATGCCACCAAACGCAAAGGACTACAGGGAATGAAAGAGAATGAAAAATACTTTAGAAGGAACTGGAAACCCAATCCTAAACAGGGAACACGCGTTAAATCGCTGCTCTTATTCAAAAGAGAGGCGAAGATGTGAACCAAGCGATAATCGAACTTATTTATTCTTGACTAACAGACTAAAGTTGTTATATGTTGTATAATGTAAATACTTTACTAATGACTCTACTTTAACAATAAAATTGCATTGAAAATCAGGTTGTGATTTCTAGGAGTTAGAAATGAATGCATGCATTATCGACAGATCGGATTAATATGTACATAATCTTAGCGTATTGTTATGATTTTATGATAAGAAAACACAGAAATTAATATTAATACAATATTACATTTTAAATATTTTTACTTTGTTAAAGCAATGTAAATATTTTACTAAATCAATGAATGGAAAATATTTTGACTATAAAATTGCATCGAAAATCAGAAAGAAGGTTATTTTCTTTTTTCAGGAAGTTTGAAAACGTAACTGATATAATAGAATTTTTATATATCTAAGAAAACACACTTTTAATTAGTTTACGATAGAAAAGCAGGAAGACATTGCATTTGGTTTGATATAGAAACAAATTCTACATGAAGATGAAAACGTTTTTTTAAAGGTGAACAATTAAGATATTGCTTTTTGTTTTTCTAGATGTAATATAGTTCATCAGAAATCTACAAATATGGGGCAACCAGTGAGTATCGAACTAACGACTAATAGTTAACTAGATTAGCTCAGTATCGACTCATATAGATATTTCCTAAGAGTCATACAGAAATATAATAAAACTATTTAGGCAATGATTATTAAGCTAATGCATTTATATTATATTATATTATTTAGTAAAACTTATGTACTCGTGTAATATTAATGGTAATAATATATTTAGGCGTACTCAGTTTTCAGCCCGATGAAGGGTGGGGGAATTTTTATTCTAATGTTTGACCAGAGAACTTTTCAGAAAATCATCGTATTATTCTTTTTTGTTGTTTTTATCTTTGTATTATCAATGTCGATATAATAAAGAAAATGAAGATAGACAAAGGGTACGTGACCGAAACGTTTTGTCTGTAATAATACCTATAGCAATCAATGATGATACGCAATAATCAACACATGCACGCTATCCCATATCAGTCAAAATAACAAATACCTGATGATGGCAAACGAGTACTTGACCGAAACGTCATGTCTATAAAATCAATAACATTGTTTGTTACAGATGAGTAAAATAGTCAAAGTTTATTGACAATTCCTAATCTTAAAGATCAAACAAAAATTATGAAATGGCGGCACGAAACTGCTTTTATGATCAAATGGTGAAACCATTTGACACTGTATTTAAAGGCTCCATATATATAGAACTGATCTGCTTCGATTGTGTAGTGGATATAGGATTTGCATTATCAAATGTTGTCATTTTACAAAGTTTTCCTTCTCCTAGGCTAATTTCCACCTCAAAACAAGTGAGCCAAGTTTGCCCTGCTATTTAACCCATAACCTGGGAGAAAAAAGACGGAAATCCATTTACGAATAAAAAACTGCTTCAAAAAGACAGAAATAACAGTGATTTCAACGCATCAAAGCTGAAATAATGGATACCTGTGGATGACTAAAGTGTAGTTGGCCGTAACGTTTTGTCGATGATAACATCAATAAGACTCAAAGATAAGCAAAATACATCAAATAAATCGAATAGGTTTAAGAAAACAGAATATCAAAACTTAGTTTTGATGCAGCCGTTGATTGATTTGTTTTCTACAGCTTATCAGGTTATTCAAAGCCAGAAAATATTTTTAGATTGTAAGATTTTTTTGAGATTCTAATGATTTAGTGATATAAGTTTTACTAATTAACCCATAGTTGGGGAGAAGAGGTGGATTCATACCGTTTCCAAGGGAATTTGCGCGTAAGTTAACCTAAAGAACCCAACTGAAATTGGATCTCGTCTCTCCAATTAACAATTCCAAGTCGTTATCTCTTATACCATGTCCACCACCGACAAGCTTACATCACTTAGTATTCCCAAGCAGTCACCCATCTGGGTACTGATCGACGTTGCTTAAGTTCAGTGATCGTCCGGGAACCAATGTTCCACCGTAATATGGCCGTAAGCCAGAAACATCCGTGATGATGATGGTAGACGTAGCATTTATTAAGGGAAGAACGCAGATAAAACTGTTTCTCGTTATAATAGTAGCATTAGTGAAAGTGATGATGATTTAACACTTGCGATTTGCCATGCTATCATTATTTGATTTTCTTTTTTAGGAGGTGTCTTTGTTAGCGGCTTTATTTTTGGACATTATCATCAGTATTTACGTTATGAACAAAAAAGAGAATCCATAATGGCCAAACAATGAGACGTAACGCTTGAATTAACTTTAACTCGTCCCTCTGTACATCTCATTCGCGGAGAATTGCTTTGACCATTTAACCAGTTTACCTCCCCGTCTTCGCACACACTGCACCCCGCACGTTCACGCT